CAAGACTTGCTCTACAGTGATCTCCGCGAGGTCGCCCTGCGCAGACCAGCCAGCTCAGCGGGCCCCCCTCCTCCCCCCCAGCTGGATTGCTCCAAATCGGGAGCCGCTGCTTGAGAGTCTGGTCGAGGGCCTCTTGCCCGACCAAGGGGGTCTGGCTGGCCGACAGGTCCCCCTCCTCGACATCGTCGACATTCGCAAAAACAAGCAGGGGCGGAGGAGCTGGCCCTTTGATGAACTTGTGAGCCACACGAGACCCCCGCTCGATGACGGACGACTGGGACCAGGACCTCCACTTCTGGCGACCCTCAGCAACTTCCTGCCTCACCCTGCGGGAAACTTCTTCCTGAAGCAGGTCAGCAAGCCGCTCTCGAGATTCGGGCCGCTGCAGCCCTTCAAAAAGAGAGGCGAGCGACAGTTCGCGCAAGTCTTCCACTTGTGCCGGTGGAAAGAGGTCGTGCAGAGGAGAGGTTAGGTTGAGGAGCTTCTCGGCATCTCGCCCTTCCATCAGCTGCAAGGCCAAGCGCCTAAGGGAGAGCCACCTGCGCGTCTGGATGTTAGCGCGCAAGTGAAGCTCCTGGCCCCAGGCAGCCTGGAGGGGCACAAGCTGCAGCTGACAGCCCCGAGAACGGCCGCACAATTTGCGGTCCTGGATGCCGCGGGCCTCGCCGAGGGCCCTCCCAGCCGCGTCGAACCAACGCGTGGCCGCAACCTGGGGGTCCAGGCCCTGGAAATCGGGGCCGTCCCAGGAGCCCGAAAACAGCCATCGACCCCTTCTCCTCCTTAGACGCCGGCAGCGGGAAAGGCCGAGGAGCGATCCTCTTCCAGCACTTGGCAGAGCCTGCAAGGCCTTTGAGAACTACCTCTACAGCATGATGAGAGCCGACAGGGGTGTCCTCGATCGCCTGGGCCTGCCCGATGCAGTAGTCCAGGCAGGAGCTGACCACGAAGAAATCGTAGCATCTGTCATGGCAAGTTGGGCCTCGAGGCCTGATGATACTGGCTCGTAGATGTCTTGTCCACTGTGACTGGCGAAGCTCCTCGGCATCGATGTCCCAATCACCTACAATGACGAAGGGGATGCCAGCATCAGTCACGACCTCGCTGACATGGTCGAGAAATGCCAGATTGGCCCCTGCTAGGCCTAAGGTGGGGTGCCCATAGACAGACGCGAAGAGGATCTGGTTCCGCATGGAAACTGCAAGCCTCCGACTTACGAGCCTGTGGGAGGTCCTCGCGTGCACAAAATCCGCCGAGCCAAACTGCGTCTTGGCCAAAATCGTGGTGCCACCTGATGACTCTCGGTCGCCTGTGCCAGTCTTGGCCGCTGGTCCAAAGGACGACTGATAGCCCGCCTTGTAGGCCCAAGGCTTGGGCCCCGCAAACTGAGGTCGCTCCAGACAGTGCCCCTGAAGAAAGACGGCGTCGTACAACACGCCCTTTACCTCCTTGGCCCACTCCAAGTGCTTGAGGCCAGTCGACCAGGCATTGGAGCTGTAAGTAAGGATCTTGATCTCAGCCTGGCCGCCAAAAACCTCGATCTCGCCGGTGTGGGGGCGGCCTCCGTCGTCGCCGATCCTGATCCTATCGGGCGGCCAGCAGCTCGACGTTGTGGCCGGAAAAGAACGAGGCGGACAACAGGCCAGGCCAGCACGGGAGGGGTCGCTCGGCCTGGGGGCTGCAGTCCGCTCATGAGCGGCCCGAGGCGGAGGCTGGGCAAGGGGGAAGGCTTCGACCACCCGCATGTCTGCGGCTTCCCTCGCTTGCCTGCTACCCTCTCCCTTTTAATGTTTGCCCAGGCCCTGGTTCTCTAGGCCCCCCCAAGGACGGCTGGGCGCCCCAACAAGTCGGACCGCTTGCGGCGATCCAGCAGCGCGCGGAACATGTCAATCATGCTCTGCAACTGGGCCCAGTGGTGCTCCGCAAAAGGCTGCCAGACTGCCTGGGTCAGCGGCCTCATCGCGGCGATGAATCTGTTGCGCCGACCTCTGCCTCGAGCCCACGCCGAAAGACAGGCTTCCCGAACAGCCTCATCTAAACATCCACCAGGACTGTCTCGACGCACAGGGCTGTACCTCAGCAAAAAGGCACGGCGGAGCTGAGCATTACCTGCCTGGCTGAGAACTTCCCGTAACCACGGCACACCAGCCCATCCAAGACGGCGTGTCCAAATAAGGCTGGCCCTCTTAGTTCCAGATCCACCGAGCACTCCAGCCAGACATCATGATCACGAAATCGCGACGATGCCGGTCTGGACCAGGCGGGGCCACAGCAATGCTTGGCGGTGGTAGCCCCATCCAGAAAGACGGGCTAAACACACTTCTTTGCCATTCGGTCACGAGCGGTTGCGACGGCGGCTGCTGTCTGTTCTGGAGAGGGCAAGCCGCCGCCCACTCTTGGGCCAGGGGGCCTCCTCCGCTGGCCGCACTCGGAGTGGCAGCTCCGCTGGCGGTGGCTGGGGCAGCAGCGGCCGTGTCTCCGCCAGGGCCGCCAGCAGCAGGCTGCCCAGCAGGAGCAGCAGCGCCATCATGCTGCGAGGGAGCCGCAGTCCCTGGGCCACCCGCGCCTTCGGCTGGCGAGCCGCCAGGCGGGGCAGGCTCCTCGCGGCGAGGCCTCTTGGCGGCCAGGCGCTCACGCATCTCTCGGGCCTCCTGGCGCAGAGCCTGGATCTTCTCCGCACTGGGCCCGATGGCCGCCAGGATGGCGGCGCGAATCTCTCTGCCCATGTTGGACTCGATCTCCTGCCAGCGCTGCTTATCCTGCTCCTCAACCTCCAGGTCCGATAGGTCGAGCAGGTCCCCGTCGATGATGTCCACCGCGTCGCTGGCCTGCTCGGCGTGCAGCAAGTGCGACAGGTTGATCTGCGAGGCGCCAGCAGGCGCCGCGGCCGAGGCGCCCGACACCGAGCTGGGGGGCCGAGCACCTCCTGCTCGGTCGAGCTCCAGCTGCAGCTCCGCCTGCCACTCCAAGTTGGCCTGCCCCGCCGACTGCGCCGCCAGCGCTGTCGCGCTGCGGCACTCCTCGAACCAGGCCTTGGCCTCGTCCTCCTTGACGAAGCACTGCTCCAAGTAGGCCTCGGCGCGGCGGCAGGCCACCCCTTTGGCAGACACTTGGGCCTCCAGCAGCGGCGGGCGCGCAGGCTTGACCTCCTGCGGCGGGCCCTGGGGCCCGATGGCGCTCTCCAGCGCCTGGAGTTCCTGCGCCGCCGCCGAGCCCGCGAGCCGCTGCTTGAGCTGCGCCAGGAGGTCGACCGTCGCGAGGCCGCCCTCCCCCGCAGGCGCCACTCGCGGCGGAGGCGTGGAGCCGCGGTGCCCAGAGAGGGACTTCGGCTTGGGCGACCACTGCCACTCGCCTGGAGGGACCGCTGGCGGCCGCTGAGCCCCGTCATTGCCGCCACCTCCTTGGGCCCACACTCCTTGAGCCACATCGCGCCACGGCATCTCGAGCGGGGCGAGCGTGACGTTGCAGTTGAAGCAGAAGGGTCTGGACTTCCAGTTTCACCTGTACCTGCACGACACACAAGAGACGAAATTCTTTGCATCTTGCCTGCCCATGGGCTCCTCCAGAAACTCACAAGAAAGAAGACGTGCCCGCTGGCACAAGAAGGTTGGGTACCGATGCTCCTCCAGGAGCTCACAAAGTTTCCTGAGCGAAGGGGCCTCAGGGATCGCAGGTGGGGGCGCACCTCCCCCTTGCCACACTCAAACCTGAGCCGCTTTGCTCCGGACTTGAGCCAAATGGCTACGGACGGGGGGAAGAGGAGGAGGAGGAGGAGGAGGAGGAGGAGGACGAGGAGGAGGAGGAGGAGGAGGAGGAGGAGAGACTTAGAAGAAGGGTGGGGTAGGAGGTGGTGGGAGGGGTCGAATAACAACGCAAATTGCTTAAGCCGAAGATTTCAGGATGTCCTCGCGGATTTCTCGGTTCGGCGCTGAGCACTTTCCTAGAGGCGCCTCTGGCGCCGTCCCTGCGGCTATTTGCGCACCAGGGGAGAGGGTGTCCAGCACCAGAGGAGGAGGAGGAGGAGGAGGAGGAGTAGGAGGAGGAGGAGGAGGCCGTGGGGGGTGGGGATTATCATAATCACACGTTTCCATGACCATCTTGTTTTTTATTCGCCCCCGGGAAGGTCGAGGCCCGTTTTGCTTCAGAGGGCTACGTTCAGGCCCATGAGCCGATACGACGTAATGGCAATGAGTACGAGTCATCCCTGGGGGAGGAGGCGAAGATGAAGACGAAGTGGGCGAAGAAACGCCCGGCCAAGCAATAGATCAGAGGCTCCTCATGATTCGGTCAACTCTATTACTCCCTCCCTCCTCGGGGGGACCGGGGCAGGAGTAGGAGGACGAGAACGAGGAGGAGGAGGACGATAAGGAAGTAGGCGAAGAACAGCTCGGGTGAGCAAACGATCGGAGGTTCCTTAGTGACCCGCGCAACTATCTTTGTTCCTCCCTCCTCAGGAGGAGGGGGGCAGGGAGTAGGAGGACGATAACACTGAGGAGGAGGAGGAGGACGACGACGACGACGAGGACGACGAGGACGTGGACGAGGACGAGGACGAGGAGGAAGTTGGCGAAGAGTAGCTCGGGCAGGCAAACGATCACAGGCTTCTCAATGGCCGCCCGAATTGTTCTACCTCCCTCCCTCCTTGGCGAGATCTTGGGCGCCCCCTCTCGAGGTCTGCTCCTTGGGTCCTCCACGGGTCCTCTAGAGGTCGCCGTCGCTGGAGGATAGCAGAGTCTGTTTTGGTGGCACAGGGCAGGGCTCAAATCGCCCACAACTTATACTACGTATCCCCTCTCATTCCTCTCCTCATCCCTCCTCCTCCTTCTTCTTCTGCCAGTCTGGGATGATGGCGTTCATTCCAGCTCAAGTTCGACTGCATCCGCTTTCCCGAGCTTCGGTTCTAGGTCCTCAAAACCTCGATCCTCGCTCGTCTGTCCTCGAATCACGGTCTTCGCTTCGAGGGGTCTTCCTGCTTAGTGGTGAGCGCCCCTCGCGAGGCTGGGATGATGGCGTTCCAGCTCGAGTTCGACTGCTTCCGCTTCCCGGATCACATCTCGGGTCGAACGACAAGGGGGAGATCGGGAAAGGGGGGGGTACAACATCTTCTGCGAGCAGCGGGTTTCGGCTCCGCACGCCGGACGCGGATTGTCCATGATTCAGCGCCGCCGCCGGCGGCGCTAGAGAGACCAGCCACGCGGATTGTTTCCCTGTCCCCCCACCCGTTGCCATGCCCCCCATTCGTCCGCCCCGAACATCGGCTCAAAGGCCGTGATTGGTTTCTCGGACGACAGCGGCGCCACGAACCTGAATCTGCGCAAGATTTTCGACCTGAATTTGGCAGGCGCTGCGTCTGGAGGTTCTTGGAAATTCTCGGGAGCTTTCGGCGTTTGTTCTGAGGTTGCAAGTGGTTCCTGTCGACTGCCACATGGTTTCTGACGCCTCTGCGTATTCTCAGACGCCTTCGGGCCCTGGAGTGCATCATCAGCTGCGCCTCGTCGAGAGCCTTCCGGAGGACCTCGAATCGTCCCGAACGGCCGCCTGGGGCCCGAACGGTGGCCCAACGAGAAGAGCCTGGCAGGCATCTCCCCAAAGCCATCAGGGCTCGGCCTCCTGAATCTGCGCCGACCGCAAGGTTCCTCGGGAGTTCGCCCTGTCGACTGCCACAGAGCGAGAGAGAGAGAGCCTTCCGGAGGACCTCGAATCGTCCCGAACGGCCGCCTGGGGCCCGAACGGTGGCCCAACGAGAAGAGCCTGGCAGGCATCGCAAACGTAGTCCTGGGCGGCCTGAGCACCCCAGCCCCGCGGCGCGTAGCGCCCTGGAGCGCCGCCCAGAGGAGGCGCGGGGATGCTGAGACCGCCTCTGGAGCCTCTCACTCCCTGCTGGGGGCCCGTCCAGGCCAGCCTGGACTACACCCAGAGGTGGTCCTGGCTCGCCCCGGCAGGCTTCAGGGGCACAGGGGTACGTGTAGTCCTCGGAGGTGTCAGCACCCCGAGCTTGTCATCACTTTCGTGCGCTCCCGCGTGCGCGAGGAGCGAGGAGAGAGGACCGGGAGGAGGGAGTCGGGGGGGGGACCGGGAGGAGGGAGGCAGGAGGACGAGGAGGGAGGGAAAAGGGAGGAGGACGGAGGGAGGACGAGGCGAGGAGGAGGAGGAGAGGAGGAGGAGGAGGAGGAGGAGGAGGAGGAGGAGGAGGAGGAGGAGGGAGAGGGAGGGGGAGGGGGAGGAGGAGGAGGAGGAGGAGGAGGAGGAGGAGGAGGAGGAGGAGGAGGAGGAGGAGGAGGAGGAGGAGGACGAGGAGGAGGAGGAGGAGGAGGAGGAGGAGGAGAAGGGAGGGGGAGAAGGGGAGAAGGGGAGGAGGAAAGGGAGGAGAGGAGGAGGAGGAGGAGGAGGAGAGGAGGAGGAGGAGGAGGAGGAGGAGGAGGAGGAGGAGGAGGAGGAGGAGGAGGAGGTGCAGGAGAGCACTCGAGGCCTCGCGCACGTCCGCTCTGCCCGGGGGCCTGGCGACTTGCGCGACCTTCTCCAGGACTCCGCAACGGCGCGTGTCGCCGAGACGCGCACCGTGAGCTCATGAGCTGCGCGCCCCACTTGAATGTCTTCCTCGTCGCTGGCGGCTCTCCTTGCCAGGCAACTTGCCAGGGCCAGCGTGGAGGCCGCCGGCCAGGGCGACGAAAGATTCAGTTCGCGCGCCGCAGCCCGCGAGTTGCCGCGCTGGCTCGCGGGGGATGGGGAGCATCAGTGACAGGCGCGTGCGTCGTCCTTTAGCCTGCGCGCGCTACCCTTTCGTTATTAACTACTTCACACGAGCTGGGGTACGTTTCAGGTGTAATGCGCTGAATGGGGTCGTTCGGCGGGCGTGGTATTGGTGCTTTTGCTAATATCCGGTTGGTGCTAGAGGCTGCCCCTGGAGTGCCGGTGCGCGTGATCGCGGAGCGCGTCGCCTCGACCTCCCAGCGCCACAGGGCTGGTTTCTGGACGCAGCTGGGATCTCCCCGCGTCGAGCTAGGCTCGGGGCACTGCCGTCCGGCCAAGAGGGCGAGGCTCTACTGGGTGAGCTGGCCGTTCCACGCTTCCCCAGGCATGAGACTGGAGGTCTCTGCCTGGGCCCATCGAGGTCGAGCTTCAGGGGCCATGGCTTGCCCAGGCAGACCGCATCGAGCGAGGCGCAGCGAGGCCGCGGGAGAGCATGCCGCCCTGGCGACACTCGCGCGCCTGATACCCCTCGAGAGGCCGCCAACGCGAACCGCTGGTCTCCTGACCGCGCCGCGAGATGCGGTCGTGCGACGGGAAGGAAGCCTTCGACTGCAGTGATGCGCCCAAGAAATCCTTGCGCAGTTGTAGGCTGTCAGCCTGAGAGCCCTGCCGAGGTCGCAGCGGCGCGTCCGATACGGTCTCCCGCGGGGGCGCTGCGTCCCCGACGTCCGCAAGGGAGCCAATACCTCGCATACCGCTGCTGTAGACTATGGACCTGTGTTGCGGGCTAACCACCGGACACTCTCTCGCTCGGCGTCGCGCAGTTTTTGTTCCTATTGGCCTCGTAGCCCCGTGAGACACGGGTCCTGGGTGGTCGCGCCTTCCTCGAGGAGCTGATGAGCAAGCCGCTACAGAAAGTCATCGCCGATGGGTGGCACATGCTGCGCGGCCACAGCGTGGCGGGGGCCGTGATCTACGAGTGCACGGACGCGCGGGCGGCGTTGGGCGCCCTTTCCAAGACCTTGGGCTGGCACACCTGAGTTTTCCTCAAGGCGGTGGGAGGCACATCGACGTCGTGGATTTCAAGGCTTGGCTCGTGGCGCTGAAGTGGTGCTCGAGAGACCCCGCCGCCATGTGTAGTCGTACCATTCACTTCTGCGTCTCGCAAGTACGTATTGCTGTGGTCCACACATGGGTAGGTCGACTTCATTTGTTCTGCTGCTCCTGCGCATGCACCTGAACGCGTCGCAACTCGCCTCTGACTGCCTCATCTCGTATGTGTTCTTGCAGTCGAGGCTGAATCTGGCCGATGCTCCGAGCGGATGCCAGCGACTATCGTTGACGGCGCGTGGCAGCAGCGGCAGAGCACCAGTTGAGCCACATGCACCGTGCAGTCATTGCAGCTTCAGCCCGCGAAGCTGAATCGCCATAGAGCTGCCGTGGCATACTTCCTGACTGGCTGGATGCTGAGGCGGGGGCCTCGCGGCTTCAGTCGCAGTATGAGCGTAAGTGTTCGGTGAGCTCTCGTGTGTTCTGTTCGGGAGTGCTCTTGGGAGTGGCAACGTGTTCTCTGGCATCCAGCACTTCCTATCCAGCCTTCGTCGTGTTCTGAACGATGCGTGGCGGCTCTTCGGAGTTTGGGTAATGCGCGAGGTGCCCTCCAGAGTTAGATCTTGCGAAGGCCTTGGGGCCGATGCCGCCGACCATGAAAGGGGACGACGACGACGACGACGACGACGACGACGACGACGACGACAGCGGCAGCGGCGGCGGCAGCGACGATAACCCTGCCGAGCTGCCGAGGGTCAGAGTCCTCAGGTATGCTTCTTGGGGTCTCTTCGGAGCGCTCTCGGGGGCCTCCGGGGGGCAATTATGAACCACTTGGGGGCTTCTCGGGGGCATCTTGGGGCCCTCTTGGGGCTTCTGGGAGTGGTTTGGCTGTCTGCGTGGCCAATCTGGCCGCAGACGTCGTGTAAGTGAGTTACTGCTTCGTGGGTTTCTGTTTCGGTGGATTCGAAATCGATGTCGTTACCCCCCGAGGCATTGGCGACCAGATGCTTGTAGATGGCCCCAGAACCGCCCAAAAGGGGCTTCGGGTGAAGACCCTGTCCCGGGGACAGCCCTGGGGACCAGGATCCGTTTCCACCAAGACCCGTTTCATTCATGCCAGTATAGTCGAGGCCGCGCCTAGCCGTATCGACGAGCGCCTTCCCTTGTAGGCGCATTGAAATGGAGAGGGAGAGGAGGAGGAGGAGGAGGAGGAGGAGGAGGAGGAGGAGGCGGAGGAGGGGAGGCGGTGATATTCATGTTGACTTGCGTCAGGCGCACCTTCCCCCCTGTGTTGTGAGATGCGCGCCTTCGGCGCGGCTGCAATTCTCCGTCATCCTGGCTGTCGTTCTCCTCTCATCCCATGTTGTGCTCTTTCCTTTCTGCGTGGGCTTCGGCAGCCTTGCCCTGGACCGGCCACCCGACCTAGGAGGAGGGGAGAAGGAAGAGCCTACCTTCGCTCCCTTCCACCCTACCCTCGTCGCTCACAGGACCCATTTCCCTCACACCACTGCCCACTGTGTGTGGCCTGTCACCGCCACGAAGTTTATCGCGATCGGGGCCGCCGAGATTACTCGGGGGTCGGCCCTTGCCTTATTCCCTACGACCAGTTGTGCTCCCCAGGCCTCACGGTGTCAATGAATAGCCCCCATGTGCGTTTGTCTTATGCATATGAGCCGCTCGAGTGAGTCCCATCGGGTCGCCAACGTGAAACCATATTCCTTGTGTTTGTTTGTTTGTTTGTTTTTTTCCATCTGGGACCCTGCGACCCCCCCCTCAACGGAACCCTCCGGATCCTTGGCCCCAGCGGCTCCCTGGACGCCCGTTTCGAAGGTCACCCGGGCTTCTGGGAGCTCCTGGACGCCCATGCTGGGCCCAGGCAGCGGGCTCAAATCGGTCGAGGCCGGCCGAACGCCCACACGCCCACATGGCGGAAGGGCAGGACAGTAAAACAGAGCACATAACGATAACTCCGCGTTGCCTTGTCCGGCATCGTCGTCATAATAATGTAATTCGAGATCCTTCCCTCGTGGTTCCTCTTCCTCTTCCTCGTAATCGTCCTCCCCTTCGAATAATTCCCCACTCTGCCCTTTTTGCGGAGGCTCCTCCTTGAAGAGCTTTTTCGGGACCTCATGGAAGTTTTACCAGGCTTTTTGCGGCCTTCTGAAGGCACCTGGCCGCCTTCTGCGGGCCTCTGGGGGAGTTCTCGAGCCACCCTGCTTCCCATGACGGCCGGGTCACGACTTGGAATGCTTCGGGCGGCGTTTTGGAGCCATCTTGGGCCGACATGGGGGTCTCTTCGGGCCATCCTGGGGCCCTGTTGGTCCTTTGGGGGGTCTCTTCGACTGCCTGGAAGCCCTTTCGGATACGTAGTTTTGGCGTGATGTTCGGGCCTCTTGGGCGGTCTGGGACGCCTGGAAGACCGAAGAATAGAGCATCCCCCAAATCATACAAAAAGAAGTGAAAATCAATGTTTTGCTGCATTTCGGAAGCCTCTTGGAGGTATTCTTTGGGTCGTCTTCGGGCGTCTGGTGGGTATTTGGGGCCTCTTCGGGCCCTCGGGGGGGGCGTTCGACCGCCCTCGACCGACTTGGGCCCGCTGCCTTGGCCCAGCATGGGCTTCCAGGAGCTCTCAAAGCGGGGGAGACCTTCAACAGGGTCGTCCAGGGAGCCGCTGGGGCCAGGGATCTGAAGGGTCCCGTTTAGGGGCGGGGGGTCGCAGGGCCCCAGATTGTTCAAATTCCTTTGAAAAGGAATATGGTTTCACGATGGCGGCCTGATGGGATCCAATCGAGCGACTCACGTGCATGTGTGTGTTACGTTTGTTACGTGTGTGTGTGTGTGTGTGTGTGTGTGTGTGTGTGTGTGTGTGTGCGTGTGTGCGTGCGTGTGTGCGTGCGTGCGTGCCTGGGTGCGTGCGTGCGTGCGTGCGTGCGTGCGTAATGTAGTTATTCTGCACTGTCTGTGTGTGTGTGTGTGTGTCTGAATTGTCTATCGGTCGGTCTGTGTCTGTCTGTGTCTGTCTGTGTGTCTGACTGTCTGTTTGTGTGTCTGTCTGCAGTCTGCGCGTGCGTGCGTGCGCGTGTGTGTGTGTGTGTGTGCTTGTGTGCATGCCCCTGCCAGGTGAGTGGCCGAGTGCGTTGCCCGCTCTCACCCAGCGCGCGTGGGTTGATGGCATGGCGAGTCGCCTGCCCGCTGACGGCCGAAAAGGGTGTGTATGTGTGCCCCCTTTGAGGCCATCCCGCGCCGAACGAGCGCCCGCGCTGCGACAAAACATGTGTGTCCTCTTCCGCTACGGTAGTTAATGCCTTTCTCTATTCGCGACGGTCCCGCCACAGCGGCGGGGAGGGAATTCATCATGACACAGCCCGTTTGAATTCTCGCGACTGTGAGGTCACGTCGCCTGCGGGGGAAGGAGCGCGCTATCTCCCCCCAAAGGCATCGTCAAGAAGCCTGCGGAGAACAGCAAGGGCGACAAAGATCAGCCTCAGGCCAAGCAGGAGCAGTCGTCGTCGGCACCGTCTCCCTCACAATCGCCGTCGTCGTCGTCGCCGTCGCTTTCACCGTTGCCGTCGTCGTCGTCATCTTGATCGTCGTTCTCGTTCGTCGTCGTCGTCGCCCCTCCAGAGAGCAGGAGCCGCTTTGGTTCCCGGGCCCGGGCGGCACGGTCCAGCCGGGCGACCTCGGCCTGGTCGTGCGGCGCCCCCTCCGGGACGGTACGACAGAGCCAACGGCGACCGCCGCCGCCGTTCGTCGCAATCGTCGCCGTAATCGTCGTCGCTGCTCGTCGTCATCGTGGTTCGCCTGTCGTTGTCGTCGTACGCGTTGTCCGTCGTCCGTCGTCGTCGTCGTCGTCGTCGATATCGGAGGCCTTCGGCGGACTTCGTTCGTTTTGTGTTTTGTCGTCATTCGACGTTCGCCGTCGCCGTCGCCGTGTTCCTCTTCTTGTTGCTCTTTCTCCCGAGCGGCCTGGCACATGTTCACTGCCACATTTCCTTGTTGGCTCTGCAGTGAGACAGATCCCCCATGCCTTCCCCCGAAGTGATCGCCGCTGGCAACCTGCGCAATCTCACGAGGGATGGATGGGCCAGCTGGTGGGCAGCGGCGGTCAATCGCCCGTCCTCGCCCCATCTGATCCCCATGGACCTCCGGACATCTTCCCTGGGGCCTGCTTTCCGTGCGTAGCCGATCTGATTGCAGCCCCGGTGCCCGAAACTGGCAGCCAGAGAGCCCGAGTGGCGCAAAACTAGCCGTCTCGATTTTTGCGAGTCGCCGGGTATCCCCAGGTGACGGACGAGCAGCTCCAGCCACTGATGGACCCGGCGCTGTTTGCGGCGAGGATGGCGGAGGGGGGCACGAAAGGTGCGGTCTGACCCCGGGGCGCCCCGCCGGCGGAGTTGCGGCGCGCGCGCGCTTGCCTCTGCTGGCTCAGGCGAGCTGCGAGCTGGTCACTGTTCAGTTCCTGTCAGGGCCAGCGTTGCCTATGAGAGCGTGTAGCTGCAAGGACCAAGACCTCCGACATCTTGATGTTTGCCATCCGCAGGCCCCAGGGCTCTCGACCCCTGCCTCGGGGGCAGCGTTTCATCTTGGCTTGTTTGTGGTTATTTCATGGTCCCAGGTCCCAGAAGCCGAAGTGGAGGAGAAACGCTTGGATTGAAATCATCATTATGCCGGAGGTCTGGGTAAGCGGGACGCACGAAGATTTGTGCCCTGCTCGCCTTACTGGTTTTCCTTTGATCACTCGGGCTAACATGTCCAGCGCCGTCTCCTGACCGCCTGTTATGATCCACCTGCTTGTCACTGAAAGCGGCAATTCGCAGTGCCAGGAATCCAGCACCAATGCTCGCCATCATCTTCACAGTATGGTCACCACTTTCTGTTGCTAGATGTGGGCTCAAGACGCGCACGCCGCACGCAAGCTCAGATCATGGATGTTGTGATTCCTTTTTGGCGTGGGCCTCAAGAGCTCTCGACCTCTCCCACCGGACCGGTTCTTTGTCGCGGGTAGTGTCTCGATGGCTCTGGGATTCGAAACTCGGTCCTCCAGAGGGTGGGAGTGTTGAAAATCCGTCGGTCAGGATTTCTTTCACAGCTTTTCGATTGCCTGATTTGATCGAAGCGCCAGCCCCGACCCCTTCCTGGAGACCAGGTCACTCGTTTGATCTTGATCTTTTTTTTGAGTGCACCAGAGCTTGAAAATTGCCTCTAGACACTTTCAACAGTTAAAACTAGCGTATGTTTTGTGCTGTTCGAAAGATAGAGGTCTGGGCTCGGGTGTCAAAAGTTGGCATTCCAGATCTGTGCCCAGGTTTCGGAGGAAGTCCAGCGTGGCGACGAGAAGTCTCCCAGAGATCCGATGTCTTGATTTGTTCAATACTGGGTCCCCCCAAAGTTCTGGCCCTTTCCCTTCAGGGCCGGCGTTTGCCTCCCCGAGAGGGGGTGCCCAGAGCGTCTTGGACGGCCGATGGAGGCCCGAGTTATGGCACACAAGACAGACATCCTCTCGTCGCGAAAGAATCACGACGGATTATGTTTTACGCATGTTCTGCCCCTGGGGGTCCTTACCCGGCCTGAGGGCCGTAGCAAAAACGACTCGGTATGAGAAGTCGGTCTGGGGAAGGGGTGCAGGCATATGGGGACCCCGTATTGAAAAACAGGTCGGGAGTCTGGGGTGGTGTCGATGAGCTTGTTCCCATCGGGGTGAGTGACTTCAAACACATCAATGGCACTTCCCCAATCAGATTTCCCCTGAACGTTCTTACTCGCTTGATGGAGACAGAAAGACAGAGAAAGAGAAAGAGAGAGAGAGAGAGAGCGAGAGAGGACAATCAACACAACGCTGTCTGTCAGCCCCTGTCAGACCACACCCCCTGCCTCGTGACCCGGGCGCAAGTTCCCAGAGCAGTCTTTGTAGGTGTGACGCAATGATGTGGTAATTCTGTGATTGTATGACCAATCCTACGCTATGCAATTGCAATGCTGTGATCTGTCATGCCGTACGGTGCTCTGCTACGGTGTGTTATCAGATGCCGTTACATTACATGCTCTGCCATGTTGCGCCACGCTATTATGTGACTCGTCTACGGTATTCAACCTGGTGGTGTCCAGTGCCAACAACCATTGCCACCATGCAATGCTATGCCAGGCAGTTCTCAACTACGCATTGCAATCATCATACGGTGACGGAACGCATCCGTCAACCTTTTTTTACGTCGGCGGTTAGGCAGAGTAAGTACGCTGGCGAAGGAGCAATCAAAACGGGGATACCGTTGAAGCGAATTGTGCCACCATGCAGGAAAATGGAGGGGGACAGAGAGGGCGGCCGAAAGAGGAGACAGGGATGCATCCGTCAACACATACCCTGAAGCGTGGGGGTTCGAAGAGAATCTCGAGCTTGTTCCCAGGAATCTCGCCGAGCTGACCTCGATCGTCATGGAATTCCTGCAGGTTTCTTCCTTCCCGTTTACTGCCTCCCCCCCTCCTTAGTTTTACCGGCGCCCGAGAGGCCTCCTCGAGCCTCGACCCTCGCGTCGCGAAGGCCCGTCCTCAAAGCGGATCTCAGACGAGCACGATTCCAGAGAGGCTCTCGAGGCGCTCGTCGGAGGTGGCCAGCCGCCTGTCTGCGAATGGTGCCCGCCGCGGAGCGCAAGGCGGCGACGACGTCTGCGGCGACGACGGCGACGACGTCTGCGGCGACGACGGCCCCACGGCGACGAGGGCGGCGGCCACAATGGCGACGACGGCGGACGCCGTCGACGTGGTTTCTGATTTGAGGGGGGCGCGCTTCCAGAGTGGAGTTGCTGCTCGACGCTTCGTGTCCCACGTCATCTCTGACCAAAACTGTTTCTAGAGTGGATCGCGCCCGAAGGCGTGGTGCTGCAGGCACGAGCAGTTCGGCTGCCCGACCTCGACGTCGCCAAGCACCTCGAGCTCGACGTCGACAAGCTCCTCGACCTCCACGTCGATATCGACTCGCGCCTCTCGATCAACGTCGACGTGGCCAAGGGAGAATGGGGACAAGGAGGTTCGAGGTTCGACCGTCGACTCGTCGAACCTCCTCCCCCAAATCCTCCTCCTCCTCCTCCTCGTCCTCCCTCCGAGTCTTTCTTCGATCCTCATCCCCCCTTCCTCCCCCTCCCGCCCCCCTCCCCCGCCCTCTATTTCAGAGGATCCCATGAATAATTTACGAGGAAGTTGGATAGGATTGAACAAGAAACGTAGCACCCCGCAGCTGCGGATAAGAGTGAAGGGGGTGCGGGGGCAGTCTGCGAGGCTCTGAAGAAGCCCGCCGCAGGCGCTTAATTTTTACAAATTATGCAACGGGCCCGCCGCAGGCACCGATTTTTCGTTAAAGCAATGTGGGCGGGTCCCTGGTGGGTCGCGGGTGAATCGCGGGTGGGTCACGGGTGGGTCGCGGACCGGCTCGTGAGAGGGTCCCTGGTGGGTCGCGGGTGAGTCGCGGGGGGGGTCGCGGGGGGGTCGCGGGCTGGTCGTGGGCGGGTCGCGAGGGGAAGGGTCGCGGGGGGGGCGCAGGGGGGGTCGCGGAGTGGGTCGCGGGGGGGTCGCGGGCGGGTCGCGGACGGGTCGCGAGGTGGGTCGGGGGGGGACGACGTCAAGCGACAACAACATCAACAACAACAACAGCAGCATCAACAACGAGAATCCGCATCGCGGAATCCCAATTCAGCCACGCACCCAGGGACAGTGAATGACCGTTCGGCCCCCCCACTCTGATAAACTAAGTAAGCGAATTTGCAGAGATCCTGGCGGATTTATTGGGTCTGCATCACCACGCCCCCTGGTAGCACCTCCAGCGCCGCCCGTGGCGCGTCTCGCCAGAGGAGTGATTCAACGTGTGTGCTTGTTTGTTATACCTGTCCGCCTGGCTCTTTCGCGCCAGTCCTGGCATTGTCTTTCGGATTGGGTTTCGTTGTTGCCGCGTTGCCACATGAAGGTGGTAGGTTGTGCGTGCTCCTCCTGACCTGCTCACCGCCGATTGGAGCCAGTGGCGCGTCGAACAAATGTGTGTGTGTGCGTGTGTGCGTGCGTGCGTGCGTGCGTGTGTGTGTGTGTGTGTTTGTGTGTGGGTGTGTGTCTAATTGTTCGCTTTGTGTTTCTCTGATTTCCGACAGATCATTTGTTCATTGCTTCTCGTCTAGGGGGAGATGAGCAGGTCGCATACGAACTGAAGTGTTCGTCGCCGGACGTCTTCGTTGCCTCGTTGAAACCGCCGACCTGGCGAGCTATGTCCAACTAGGTTGGTGGGACCGTCTGGATAAACTGCGGGTGGTGCATCGGTTCTCGTTGATTGCAGCACGGGCCCCACCGATGACATGCAACCCTTCAGCTCCGTCGCCCGCCGCGGTGCAGTGCGGAGCAGAGTGTGGTGTCGCGTGCGCGCTTCTTGTGGCCGCTGGCGCGTCGCTACGCCTCGACGCGAGGCATTCCAAAAAGGGTCCTGGCCATCGACAGATCGAGAAGTTGGCATCTCCCCTTGGGAGGCAGGCGGCCTGATCCCGCTTCCAGCACCCGCGGCTCAGCGCACAATGCATGCTGGCGGAGGGGCGGGTCCAGCGCCGACCCGCGGGCTTCCCACCGCTGATGCTGATGCATGCGCTTCTGGGCGAGTCTCTGGTCGGCTATGTCAACGACAATGGTCTGGCAGCTAGACTGCGGCCACTTGTCAGCGTGAGGAGGGAGGCTCAGGAGGACGAGGGAGGAAGAGAGGACCAGGGAGGAGCATGGAGCAGGAGGGGTGTACGGGGAGGCAGGGATCGAGTCAGGGCTGTCCGCCCTCCGGCGGACGCAGGCGGACGCCGTCGACGGGGTCTTCCACCACGAGTACCCGCGCCAGCCGCGGCAGCAAGGAGCGGGCAGCGGGGAGGGCGTTGGGAGGAGGAGGGGGTAGGAGGAGAACCAGAGTAAGCCCAAGATGCATCAACGATGCTGCAACGCGCTTCCAAGAATGACCAGCAACATATGGGTCTGTCATTCAGGTAGAGCCCCGTTTTGAAACGGAGTTGCCTTGCATTCTCTTGGCGAACAGACTTGGATGCGAAAAGGTGTGATCATACAGTTCAACAAGGTGTCCAGTCACATCCCCGTTTTGAAACATGACTGCCCTCAAAATATACAACTGTTGCACAGGTTGGCGCTTCTGGCGATGTCTCCAGCGAGAGCTACATTAAGAAACGGAGCCGCCCTCAATCCGTGCAGCTGTAACTATATGCGCAGGCCTTGCAAACAAGCAACCATTGCCTCAGCGAAGACAGCCGTTCCCTTCCCGTGTACGTAGCTGGTGGACGCGCTGAAGGCGAATGTGCGCGGCGCTAAGGCGAGAGCTTCATTTTTCTTTGTCATCATGGACACGGTTGCGCACTTTTGCGACGAATGTGCGTGGAATTTCGGCGAGAACCACATTATGAAAAGAATTGCCCTCCATCCTCGAAGCGTTTGGACATATTTTCGACGAGCGTGCACGGCGCAAAGGCGACACCTCCATCTTCAAAACGACTCGTGCTCCAGCTTTGAAGTTGTTGCGAATGCGCGGCGCCAGGGCGATAACACCAGTTTTTATTTAATTGAACGCCCCTGAGGGGGCAGACACCGCCGCCCCACTTTTTTGGGAACCCGGAGTTTCCGTGCGGGGGGATGCTCCTGAGGTTCTCTTGGGGCCTTCTAGTTGGATTCTTGGAGGCCTTGGAGGCTCTCCTGGGGCTACGTTGCCGCAAGCAGACAGCAAGCCTTGACCAACGTGAGCACCGTCGACCAAAGCGCAATGCTCCCCGACACAGAACATCGCAAGTGAAACGCCAGAGCGAGCGGGTTGCGGTCGACAATGATGACCACGCTGTTGCCATTTTGCTCTCGAGCTCGATCAAGGGTTTTTGGAAGCCGCTGTACTGGCAAGGTCGCAGTCATGGCACGTTCGTTAAAGCGTCACCTTTCTGACGAGCTTCGCAGGGTAGAGCGCGAAACAGGTATCGGAGACGCCTACGGCAAATCACGGCCGGCCCCATGCCTTTATGGGAAGCGTCTATGTGGCCGAAAGTTGGGCCAGAGCTTGCCCAAATTATCGGACCATGTGGTGCGGAGGCGGTGTGGAAAACCTTCAGGCAGCACAAGGAGCAGGAGGAGGAGGAGGAGGTGGAGGAAGAGGAAGAGGAGGAGGAGGGAGGAGGAGGAGGAGGAGGAGGAGGAGGGGAAGGAGGAGGAGGGGGGGGAGAATCGGGGAGAAGGACGGGGAGGGAGCTTTTGTTGAACTCTTGCGGCGTATTGGGATCTCTGGGGAGGGTTTCGGGCGCCTTTTGAGGTTTTTTGGGGAGCTCTTCGCGCTTTGTGGGGGCGTCTTGGAGGCTTTTGGGCCGTTTTAGAGTTGTCTTGGCCCGACTGACTCTTTGAGGCCGTCTTGGGGAGATCTCTGGGCTGTCTTGGTGCCCTCCTAGGGCACTTCTCGGGAGTTCTGGAGGCATTCTTGGACGTTTTGGAAGCATGTGGGGCCGTCTAGGGGTTCTGTTGGGGCCGTCTTGGGGGCCGCATGGGACGCCATGAGGCCACCTTCGAAGCCTCTTGGGCGATCTTGGGAGCCTTCCGATCCGTATGGGGCCGTCGGAAAGGTGAAAACACGCAAATGCCAAAAACCGAGCAGAACGTATCGAAAATCAATGTGTTTGGCTTCCTGGGGCCTTCCTGGAGAACTTCGAGGTCTTTTGGGCCGTCTTTGAGGCCTCTGGGGGGCCGTTCGGGCGGTGTTCAGCCATCGGAGGCCGTCTTAGGCCGTTTCGTGTCCAATTTGGGAAATATCGGAAGAATCGTCGAGCCATTGTAGCCGTCTTGGGCCGTCTTGGAGACCATAGTGGTCATTGTGAAGACAGTGTGGGATCCATTTCGGGCCATCTCGACGGTCTTGGGAAGGATTTGATGATTAGTGCGGGCCTTGCGCGGCCGAACGGGCTCTTCTGGGTGGCCGGCGGGCTGGGCCGTCTACTGACGGATATAAGACAGAGATCGCATGAGAACCTGGAGAATTCTCCATTTCGTGCCTCGAGGCACGGTAGCGGATTTCTGAACGGACACGTCGGCTTCACAAGCGGAAGGTCAAACAAGGGACTCACTTTGTGCACATTTCTCGTCGTACCAAAGCGTTTGCCCTGGGGCAATGGACTCGAAATTACCACAAGGCGTTATTTTTGCTTTCCATGATTATCCGCACCCTTTTTGAGAAGAGCAGCATATTGAGGGACGAAGAGTGTGCACAGTCAGAAATTCGCATTCATGGCCGGTTCGCACGCCAATGCTTTTTATTTAGGAACTTGCCGGGGCAGTTTCGGTGCAGAGGCCTTCGGCAGAAAAAAACGAAAAAAGACAGGTTCGGCGCAGAGCCTTTCAACAACCTATGTAAGGCGATGGCGCGGATGCACTGTCATAGTCCTTTCAATAAGCGGGACGAAGTGCACGCATGCACGATCAACTTGGTAAAGAACGCTGGGAATACTGAAAGGAAAATCATGATGGCCAGCTTTTTTTTGGAGTTCAGTTTCCTGACGCATTTCGAAAAGAACGAGTCCAAGTTATTGGAGTTGGCCCGAATGAGTCCCAGGAAATTTGCCCAGAGCTGCTATAAGAGTGCCTTCGGCATGCGCCCGCTTGTTCCTTCCATCAGTCCCGCCTCGTGCAGAGCTTCGGGGGCCCAGGGAGCTGGACGTGAAGCCGTCACTCCAGACGGGCCCTGGTCGTTCAAAATCGATGCACTTACCCGCCAAGAAGCCGGGTGTCACGCCATGCCATTCAGTGCGGTGTTTCGTTGTGTTCCACTGCGCGATGCCAGGCTGCGCAACGCGCAGCTTTGTGATGCAACGCTTCGGTCGTCCTCTGGTTTCGTTTTCGTGGTATTTTCCTATTCCTTCGCATCGTTCTCGTGTTGTTCTCCTCGTCTGACAGCTTCCCCTGTCCTGGTTGTCCCCCCGTGAGTTTCTGCGTCTGGATGTTGCGTGCACCCCTGGGGCCGTTTAGGGCTCGTGCCTGATGGCGGCCTGTTCATCTGGTACTTTCAATGCGGTGTGGACGTCGTGCGGTGTGGACGTCGCCACGAGCGATCCGGGAGAATCTAGCTCATTCGCCGCCGTCCTCCGTGCATGTCTCGTTTTGATTTCCCCTTCACGTTCGTTGTGATGGTGATCATCCTTATCTTCCTCCTCCTCTTCATGTGCCTTCTCGTGATCATCATCATCGTCGGGTCATCGTTGCCATGGTCATTATCGCCATGATGCCACCACCATCATCATTCGCCAAATTACGCTCGAATGGAGGGCGTCCGCGGATAACCGCGGCATTATTCCGGTGACTTGCCGATTCGGGCAGGGGAAGCAAAAATCTTGGCACAAGCAGCTTGTGGACTTTTTGAAAGGAGAGAAAGAGCACAATTATATAAGTTTAGTTACGCAAATTTATGAAGAACGCGTTCTTACTGTGGAACAGGCACGCGTTATTGCTTCGATAGTGGCGCTAGGGCCAGACAACTCCATGGCTCGCATGACCAGCCTGATAGCAGTACTAAAATCAAAGAAAGGATTCGGAGCGCTTTCGGTCAAGAATGTCATTGAGGTTCTTCGTGTGCACAACATATTGGCAAATATTTCTTTAGAAGAAACATCAAAAATCCCAGACGGGCCTGGGGCAGCCCAATTTTGGAGACTGACAAAGATCAGTCGAGACGAGATGGTGGCATATCTTAAAGACACTATTCAAAACATGAAAGACGTTGCCCTCAGAACGGGCAAGAAACCAGTGGCAGTCTCATTATCCACAGGGAAAACTGTCGAGTACGACATGAACCAGTTAGGATTTGAGGAGAGCAGCGTTGACCACGCGCTCGCTCAATATTGGTCTTGTGCCCAGAGCCGCATTCTGGCAGCCTACGAGTGTGTATCTCGGGGTGCTGAGCGGCCAATCCCCTACCATTTGCTGCCTAACAAACGTATTTTGGAAATCATTGCTGGCTTGTCTGAGTTTGCGGATTCAGAGAGCAGTGACGACTCAGTAGAGGATGAGGAATAGACGCCAAGTGTATAATCATCATCATTACATTTCCATCATCAGTACTGGGTGTTGGGTTCGGTGAGGGTTGGCCGTTTGATCCAGAATGCTGTCTTTGGTGAGGGTTTGCCGTTCGCTCTCGGGAGGTGGCTTCGGTGGGTGCTTGCAGTTTGCTCCTGGAGTTTGGCGTAGTGGACGGTTGCCGTTTGATCCGAAGTGCTGGCTCCGGCGGGGGGTTGCCTTTTGATCCAGGGTGCCATGTGCAGTGGAGAGTTGCCGTTTGAGCCAGGGCGCTGGCTGTGGTGAGCGTTGCCGTGATCCAGGGCGCTGGCTTTTGTGAGGTTTTGCCGTCTGCCCCGGGCGGTGGTTTTGGTGGGGTTTCGCCGTTTGTTCCTGGCGGTTGGGTGCGGTGGAGGATTGTCGTTTGATCCAGGGTGCTGGCCCTGGGGAGGGTTTGCCGTTTGATCCGGGGTGTTGGCTTGGGTGGGGAGTTGCCGCTTGATCGAGGGTGTCAGGTGTAGTGGAGGGTTGCCGTTTGATCCAGGGTGCTGGCTTCAGTGAGGGGTTGCCGTCTGATCCGGGGTTCTGGGTTTGGGGGGGGTCTGCCGTTAGATCCAGGGTGCTGGGTGTAGCGGGGGGATGCCGTTGAATCCCAGGTGGTGGTTTTGGTGAGGGGTTGTCGTCTGATCCGGGGTGGTGGCTTCGGTGGAGGTTCGCCGTTAGATACAGGGTGCTGGGTGCGGCAGGGGTGGTGCTGGCTGTGGTGAGCGTTGTGATCCAGGGCGCTGGCTTTTGTGAGGTTTTGTCGTCTGCCCTGGGCGGTGGGTTCGGTGGGGTTTCGCCGTTTGCTCCTGGCGGTTGGGTGCGGTGGAGGATTGCCGTTGTTCTAGGGTGCTCGCCTTGGGGAGGGTTTGCCGTTTGATCTGGGGTGTTGGCTTGGGTGGGGCGTTGCCGCTCGATCGAGGGTGCCAGGTGTAGTGGAGGGTTGCCGTGTGATCCAGGGTGCTGGCTTCAGTGAGGGGTTGCCGTTTGATCCGGGGTTCTGGGTTTGGCGGGGGTTTGCCGTTAGATCCAGGGTGCTGGGTGCAGCGGGGGGATGACGTGTGAGGGGTGTGCCGAAACGGGGTGTCACCCACATGCGGGCGGCGCCACTGAGGCCATCGGTGGAGCTCCCTCTGGGGCCACCTCTACCCAAAACTGCACGGAGCGTTTGGTACCGGGGGATTAAACAGGGCAGTCTCACCCAATGCAAAAGCGGGATCGGGATGTAGCTTCTGAGGGGGGTTGCCGTTTGCTTTTGAGGGTTGGGCGTAGTGGAGGGTTGCCTTCTGATCTGGGGAGTTAGGTTTGGCGAGGGTGTGCCGTTTGATCCGGGGTGTTGGCTTCAGTGAGGGGTCCCCTTTTGTTCCAAGATGCTAGGTGCAGTGGAGGGTTGCCGTTTGATCCAGGGTGCTGGCCGTGGTGAGCGTTGCCGTAATCCAGGGCGCTGGCTTTTGTGATGTTTTGCCGTCTGCCCCGGGCGGTGGTTTCGGTGGGGTTTCGCCGTTTGTTCCTGGCGTTTGGGTGAGGTGGAGGGTTGTTGTTTGATCCAGGGTGCTGGCCTTGGGGAGGGTTTGCCGTTTGATCCGGGGTGTTGGCTTCGGTGGGGCGTTGCCGCTTGATCGAGGGTGCCAGGTGTAGTGGAGGGTTGCCGTTTGATCCAGGGTGCTTGCCTTGGTGAGGGTTTGCCGTTTGATCCAGGGTGCTGGCGTTTGTGAGGTTTTGCCGTTTGCTTCCGGGAGGTGGCTTCGGTGGGTGTTTGCCCTTTGTTCTGGGGCGTTTGAGCGTAGTGGAGGGTTGCTGTTTGATCTCGGGTGTTGGTTTTGGCGAGGGTTTGCCATTTGCTCCGGGGTGCTGGCTTCGGTGAGGGTTTGCCGTTTGATCCAGGGTGCCAGGTGCAGTGGAGGGTCGCCGTTTGATCCAGAGTGTTGTGTTTGGTGAGGGGTTCCCGTTTGATCCTGGGTGGTGGTTTTGGTGGAGTTTGCCGTTTGCTTTCAGAAGGTGGCTGCGGTGGGGGTTTGCCGTGTGCTCCTGGGGGTCTGGCGTAGTGGAGGGTTGCCGTTTGATCCAGGGTGCTAGGTTTGTCGAGGGTTTGCCGTTTGAGCCGGGGTGCTGGCTTCGGGGGGGGGGTATGCCATTTGATCTAGGGTGCCAGGTGCAGTGGAGGGGGTGCCGTCTGATCCATTGAAAAGATCTGTCAGAGGTGTTCCAAAACACGCCGGGCCAAAATTGCCACAATCCCCTGTGTGGCGATCTCAGTATAAGGAAAGGCCGATAGAGGAGGTGATGCAGTCGATGTGGATGGAGCATGCCATCCATGTCACCGGCTCAGGCGAAAATATTAGGCGCACCACCTCCCGCATACGTTCGTAGTGACTGCATCCAGGGCCGTGCTTGTTGAAAGCCGGGTGTAACTGCATGGATGATGTTTGAGTATGGTCGGCAATGTCCACGAGAGTTGGCCTAAGTAGTCGACGGGTTGAGAAGAGTTCGAGAGCACCTATAGACGTTTGGCTCGAGCTTGCTCTCCATCAAGAGTTTGGTGTCAGCGCGGCGCAAGCTGCTTCATCAGCAGGGCCGGCGCGCAGCATGGGGAAGGCGAAGGCTCCCGCTCCGAAGAAGGCGAGTGCTTCCGGCAGCGGTTCCGGTTCTAGCCGCGGCTCCGCGCCAGGCAAGCGCGGAGTCATGGAGATCCCGTCCTTGTCTGATATGGGTCCGGCGACTAAGGGGGCGAAGACGAGCTTCGACAAGCGGGGCGTTCCAGGCGATGATGCGGTGCACGTCGTCTGCCTCGAATACTCGCAGGACGGCAGCAAGTACGGCGATCAGTTCGAGACGGGCCCCTTGATTCAAGCCACCACGATTTGTAGCCTCACTCCATCTCCTCTGTACATGCAGAAAAAAGTTGTGGAGATGTTCGGCGCCCAGCACTCGGCTGATGACGGGGAGTCTCCGCCGAAGAGCCTGGATGAAGTCCTTGACACATATCAGGCGGCTTTCTCGTACACGTCGAAAAAGTCTACCGATGAAGACGGCGTCGGCTGGGCCAAAAACGCCGCTGCGTGGTACGTGCCAGCTGCGAAGATTAAGGACTTCCTCATGTACTACGACGAGGTCATTGCGTGGCGCTTCAAGTTCCAGGACGAGGAGTTTGACAGCATCACAACGCCGACGCAACCGAAGATCATGGTTCACGTCCCATCGCAGGCCGCGTGGAAGCCCGTCGTCGACGCTACGCAGGATGAGCTAAAGTGCGTCTTCGAGATCAAGGAGGAGGAGACCTGCAAGCCCATGGGCGTATCGGTGTTTGGAGTGCCGCCGCCAACGTTCCCGCGCAGAGTTGTCATCGTGCAATTCGAGCTCACCGCTGACGGGTCGAAGGCCCACTGGGTCTTCGCTGGCAACACTATGCCTTTCAAGTCTGGCTTCGTGGAGCACAAAATATCAGGTCGGTCTTTCAAGAGCCCCATGTCCGAGTACCCTCAGTTTTTCAGGATCATCGAGCACGTGGACCTCACCGACACCCAGAAGGCGATCGACATGCTGAAGGACATCGTGACTGACATTCTGAAGAAGACCCCGGTCGTCCTCCGCCTCAAGGAGACGAAAGCGGACTCGTGCCACATCCGTAAGGTTGTGAGCGCCTTTGGAGAGGAGGAGTTCCCGAACGTGCGCAGCGAGATCAGCGATCACTGAGCGGGTAAGAGCGCCCCCCCCAGCCCGTGTGAGCGGGCCCCAGCCTGTAGGAGCGTGATCCAGCCAGAGGCCCCGTGCGTGTATGATATCATTGCGATCGCCCCTGGCGCCGAGGGGTGGGCCCAAGCTCGTACCAGCGAGCTCCAACAGAACGTTCAGGCGTGGCGCCGCGGACTTTTGCAGCGCTTCGCCTGCTTGGCCCCGCTGAAATTTAGTCTCGTATGCAGTGGCGGGGTTCGCGTTGCTAAAAATGTGAGCGCTGCGTGCACTGCGGGCAGGGGATTGCAGGGTTTGCAGGGATGTCGCGGCAGCAGAGGAAGCGTCGTTCGGGAGCTCAAGCGATTGTTTGGAAAGGGCGGTCGTCGCCGAAATCGCTCGGCGAGCCCGGTCTGGGCCCTGAGCGGCACGTCTGCGTCACTGGAGGTCCCGGCGTGGGGCGCGCGCAGTGCGTGATGGAGGAACGGGCCCGGTTCAGACCAAGCGGCGACAGGGGATGGATGGTAGCAGGTGGGAGCCAGGTTGTAGAAGAATGGGCCAGGCTCATCTCGGAGGGTCCGGAGATATGGTAAGATGGTAGGGTTGCCGTTGATCAACATGCAAGAGTTTAGTCCGGGCCTGTTCCAGCAAGAGGTCGTGCTTGGAAAGATGCTTATGAGCGCCTCCCTCAGCCCCGAGGAGAGATTGTAGCAATATCGGCCCGCCCTCTGATGGCGGGGCGGGGAGAGAAGTGTCAGGCGGTGAGAGCATGCGAGGGTAGCAGGAGGGCCCGAGACAGATTGAATATGAGGGCAGTGTACTCTGTTAAGGAGGGGGGCTGCCTGGAAGGACGTGTAATGAGGCGGCCTTCGCACCTATCTGGCCTTGTCGGACTGGTCGGAACGTGGGGTTTGGTGGGAATAGATGCCGATGCCCTTGGGCGCGGTCCCTGGGCGGTCTACGTATCAGCCATATGACAGGGTCGCATGTGGTTTGCAACAGAAAGCTAGGGGATGAAATCCCGACCCTGTAGCTGCCAGGGATTTCCGGAACGTCTGGCCGTTGCTTCAGAGAAGCTTCATTTCGTTGGAGGGTCTCTGCCCGCTGAGCCCTCTCACGCCCTAGGAGCGGGTATAGTTTTTTGTTGGGGGGTTTCCGGATCACGTGGCCGTCGTTGTAGTGAGGATATACTTCCGCCGAGGGGTTTGGCCCGATGTGCCCTCTCATGTCTCAGAGAGGATTGTAACAGATGGGGCCCGTCTTCTAGGGAGAGAGGGAAGGGGTACACCAGGGCACATCGACGGATGAGGGAGAGGCGAAGTCAGAGGCCTATGTGTGGAAAGGTGTAGTAGGAGATAGGAGATCAAGCAGGTGTGGCACATTTATCCAGGGAACAAAACTGATACAAGCCCTTGGGCGGCAACCTTTAGGACCATCGGGCGCGGGTGTCAGTAACGTTAGCTTTCTCCTGATGATTTCAGCCTGGTGGGCCTTCTGATACCCCAGACAGCATTGTAGCAAAATCGGCCGCCCTAGTGTAGTGGAGACTGTAAGTAGGAAAAGGCTGCCGAATAGGGACCGGGCCAAGGGCAGGGGGAAGCCGCAGTGCTTTGCGATTGGCCCGAATTGGGACGCAGCCATAAGCATCGCATCTGCGCGCTCCGGGCAGCGCGCGCGGTCGAGGCTGAGGCGCGTCATCGTGTTGCACGTCGATGCCGCAGCGCGACAAATGGAAAGATACTGGTAGTGGTGGCGGCTTCGCAGGGCGCCCGACGCCCGTGCGGCGAGCTTAGCAAGGCTTGATCAACTTAGAACAGAGAGTTCCGTGTGTTGTCATGCAATACGGTGGGGTGGGATCCAGCTGGCCTTGCCACCTTGTCTTCTCCGCGGGAGTCCTGCGGGAGGAGTCTATGGACAACTTGAGGGGTTGGGGGGGTGTGGCTGGGATATAGTGGCGAGAAGGCATGGTGGCTCCGAAACTCATAGTTGTGGGTTAGGAGGCTGGTAGTTGTAGGGCCCTGGGCATCTGGTGTCGGAGGTCTCCGGGCTCTATGATATCAGATTCGTGTAGAACTCGCCAGATCGGGTTGGTCATCGGGTGCGGTATCGGGGCGGCGAGCGAGTGCATTCGTGTTCGCTGGGTCGGAACGCGGCCGTTCGGATTGAAACGGCGATCAGGGACGAAGTCAACGTGGTGGATCAACGTTTGTTGCCGAGGCCTACATTGGTGGCCGATATCGCTGGGCGGGGCATTCACATGGCTGCTCGCACGTGCGGTGATGGAGCCTGCGCTCTGCACAGTGCATGGGGCGTAGTCACGGAGGAAGTGGGCCAGAGTGGTACGTGGTATTATTGTGAGAACGCCCGGGACAGAGTACTCATGAACGTTCCAGTGAGCTACGAGGCAGGTCAGGTCGACGGGGACGCGGCCACCGCATTGAAGATATGGCTTGACTTCGTTTGGGCGGACCAGGTGATGTTCGCCATGGCCCGCGCCCGGGGGGAGCCCGTGACGCCAGCTGAAAGTCGCGGTGCAGGTGTGATCTGGGAGGCCTTAAGCGCAGAGCGGCGGGAATGTCTGGAGGACTTCGCTGAGCTCAAGCTCGTGGAAACCAACGTGATCGAAGTGCTGTCCGAAGACCTCGTTCATAGGAGTGTGGCGATGTTCGAGATGGAGAACCGACCGTATTTGAAGCATTTAGTCGTGGCCCTGGGGTACGTCTCAGAGCAGGACTCGAAGAAGTTGGGCTTCATCCTGGACGGGGTGGTGAGCGATCCTTTGGAGTTGTTCAGGCCGTCTAGAACGTACCACAGCAGGTCTCGCTTCGACGTCATGTGCGAGGGGCACGTGGATGAGAGTCGCAGCTTGCGCAGGCTACTATTTTTGAACAATGTCCACGGGTCCTCTGAGGAGGGCGTGAAGAGTATTATGTCCACGCTGCATCGGTTTCAGGCTGAGATGGCGCAGGCGGGGCGGAGCGAGCTCGCACATGCCCTTGTCGGAGTGGCGGCTACGCTTAAAACGCGCTGGGAGGCTCAGCGTTTGCCGGATATCCCGTCCGAGTGTACCCCAACAGAGGCGTGGGCAGCATGTCGGCGTGCGTGGGCTGACGGTCGGTATTGGTTTTCAGTGGGCGAGTTGTATATGTTTGCGTATTTCGCGGATGCGAACGTGGAAGTATTCGTTCTCGAGGTGGACGGCGAGGAGGGTGTGGCGTTTGTGGAGATGCCATCCAGCTTTGGGCGTTATGTGGGCGAACAGCGTCCAGTCGCAGTGGTCCTCACTACAGACGTCGACATGGGGCTTGGCCACTTCTCTCGGTTGTTGAGCAGCGCGGAGTGGGAGAGCGCCGAGGATTATAGTGCGCAAGCATCAGACAGTGGGCGTTTTGACAATTGATAATGAAAGTATGTCTGAAAATCCCTCCCCGGAGAGTTTCCCCGGAAGTTTTCCGGAAAGTCTCCGAGAATATGTTGGAAGTATGTTCAGGGGCCGGAAGTTTTACGGAAATTCGCCGGACATATTTTGAAAATATTTTCCGGGGCCGGAACTTCCGGAAATTCATCGGACATACTTTGGAAAATTATTTCCGGGGCCGGAAGTTTGCCGGATATTGTCTGGAAATATTTTGGAAATAGCTTCCAGGGCCGGAGGTTTTCCCAGAAATTCTCCGGAGATACTTGGGAAATATGTTTCGGGGCCGGCCGGGAATTCCCGGAAAGTGTTTGACTTGTTTCTGGGAATCCTCGCCTGTCTGACTACTAGCGCGCTATAAGCCGAGGACGTTGACGGTGTCGGTGACTCTGAGGATGGGCACTCTTCTTCGGGAAGTAGTTCGGAGGAATGCGAGGGCGTGGGCGCGGCGCCACCCGCAGAGATGAGCGATGTCGGCGGCGGCAGTGCTGATCCGGGGCTAGCCGCAGACTGCGAGTCATTAAGCGATGCAAGCGATGGTCTCGATGTCAGCGACGTTCAGGTCGACGCAACGAAGTCGTTTACAACCAGGGAAGATCGCGCAGTGCATCGTATCGAACGGGTTGCCGGCATGCTGCGAGAGTCACCTTTGTTGCCGTGTGACCCGATGGACCCGATGAAGCCGTTTCAGCAGGTACACACTGGGATGCGATTTCCATTGGTGCAGTGCGCTTTTCAGGGGTGTACCTGGTCTAAAGATATGGATGCAGAGGGGCTGAGGCAGTGGAGTATGGAGTGGGCACTGTACTGCCACATCAAGAAAGACCATCGCGCTGCATTCGAGGAGGAGTTCGCCGAGTGGGATCGACAAAGTCCGCCGGAACGGGCGAGTCAGGCTGGGCGGCAGGAAGGGGGCGTTTTCAGGAGAGTGATATCAGACTACATCGCTGCCCTCCGTGTACGGGAGAGGCAAGGCATGCCGAGTGTTGGTGTCGCGAAAGATCGGCAGTTGCTACGGGGGCTTCACCATGTACTTGGAGGTGTGAGCATGAGGATCTGTTTCGGGTGTGCGCAGAAGCATGCACACGTCCCTTTGTGGACGTCCCAGTATGCTCCGGGGCAGCACGGACTTCATGAAGATGGTGATGGTCGACGTTGGACCGAACACAAAGAAGCACGTTTTTCTTGCAGTCCCTTGGGTATGTACTCCATCAGCGAATCTTTGGAACGGTTCCGGAATCGGAACGAGCGCAATTTCTTGTTGCATTTTGGCTTTGACAAATTTAAGGCGCGGTATGCTGGGGACGGTGACAACAATGACAACCCTTTCCGTGGACCAGGGTGCATGCTTGCATTGGAGAGAGAGTGGGTTAGGACTATAATTTTGCAGAGCCCCTTGCAGGAGGTCCGCGTGGTATGTTGTCCAGAAGATGTGGAGCGGTGTCATGCTTGTACGAGGGCGGGAGCGGGCACTGGGGAACGAGCATTGTGTGGGCAGTGCAGAGTGCCGTTCTGCCGACGGTGTGCAGAGTGTGTGGTTCGGAATATTTGTTCGGATATACCCATGGTTTTGGCAAATGACAATCTATGGGGGTACGTGTGAGATTTGCTGTTCCGTTACAGAGTGTCGTGGTTAGAAGCAGCCGTGGTGCAACCGTTTTGGACGTCGTTCATGGTATGTTACGTCGAAGGTACGGTGGGGCATCTCATGGGTGAATGTGTTCAGCAGGCAGAGTACCGTTATCGTGTGCGAGGGACCGCGCACAGTTTTCATTTACCTTGGGAGGAAATCGTGCACGAGTTGACAAAGCATTGCGGCTCGGAGTCGTCAGTTGAGGACCTTCCGAGAAAACCAGCGCACCTGCGGTATCTGTTGCGAGTGCAGATGAAGGTGCATGGTAAGTTGTTGGAGCGGGTGTTGAGGCAGCTGACAGTCCGCCCATATGTGCTGTACAAGCTGCTGGAGTACCTCATCGACCACAACCATGAAGCTTTTCGGGGGAAGGGGCCTCCAGGCACGCTGAAGGAGAAGATGGCGTCTGAGATCAGACGGTGGTACCCAGAAGACGCGGGCCAAGACCATGTTACACTGGATGAGCGCGTATGCAATGTCGCGGAGCACGTGGCGCAGGAATTGCGGGGCGAAGAGGCGGCCCCCCCGGCGAAAAGGAAGCGCGCCGTGCTGGTGAAAGAGAAGAGCTCCATTCCGGCGGCTGCAGATACGGACTGCGAAAGAGCTCTTGAAACTCGCCCACTGTCAGTCGGCGCAGGTCAGACTACAAAATCTTTGAGCGATCCAGCGTCGATGCGCATGGGGGCGTTCGCAGAACATGGTAGATTGGCGATTGTCACTCAGTCGCAGCTGGTAGCGCAATGGAATGGAAAGTATGCTTCGGCTACGCCGGTTCCAGATCTTTTTCGGGTTGCGAAGCAGTCCGTCATTCTTGAATCCGTTTTGGAGGAACAGTGGGGCCCCTGGGGGTTCGAAACATGAAGGAACTCATTTATGATTGCTTTATGCACGCTCCAGCAGTTTCGATGCTCCCAGGGATCTCGCGTAGGAGTTGCACGTATGATGGCCCAGATTACGCATCCGTTCGGTGGAAAACGAAATGGGTTCGCGGGTACTGAGGGCGTACTGAGAAGGATGTGTCACTGGAACAAACCTGTCCGGATCGCCGAGGCCTCATCGAAGTCGGGTTTGGGCGGAGAGTCCAGGCGGATTTTTTCCCACAATCCCCTGAAGGGTGTTGTTTGGGGGGGCCTAGTGCTTGAAGCCTAGTGAAGTGGGAAATGGCAGGACTCGTCGGGCCTGTTTCCTTTCTCGGGGTCTTTCTCGTCTGACAGACCCAGGAGCCTGCACGCAAGGCAGGAGCCCCAGGAGCCTGCACGCAAGGCGGCTCCAGGAGTTGAGGGTTCAAGCGGCCCCAGGAGCCTGCACGTTTTTATTTAATCGCTTCGCTCATTCCGCCGGCCCATATTGTCGCACAGTTGTGGGCTAGCCGAGTTTTGGGGCCTCTTGGGGGCCGTTTTGGGGCCTCTTGGGGCCTCTTTTGGGCCTCTTTTGGGCCTCTTGGGGCGTCTTGGGGGCCTCTTGGGGGCCTCTTGGGGCCTTTTTGGGGCCTCCTGGGCGCCTTCTGGGGCGGAGGGCTCGATTTTTCAGTTCTCGGTTCCCCTCTTGAGCCCCTCTTGGGCCCGTCTTGGGGCCTCTTGGTCCGTCTTGGGCGGCACTTGGGCCGTCTTGGGGGCCCTCCTGGGCCGTTCCGGGGCCGTCTTGGGAGCCTCATGGGCCGTCTTGGAGCGGTCTTGGGGGCCTCTTGGGCCGTCTTGGAGCGTCCGGAAGCCGAAAAAGCCAGAACGCAAAAAACAGCGAAAAAAACAATGAAAATCAACGATTTTGGCCTCTTGGGGCCCTCTTCGGAGGCCTCTTGGAAGGCCCTTGGGGCGTCTTGGAGGCCTCTTGGGCTGTCTTGGGGCCCTGTTGGGCGTCTTCGGGCGATCTTTGGCCGTCTCGGGGCCCTCTTGGACCGTCTTGGAGGCTTCTTGGGGGCCTCTTGGCCCGTCCTGGGGCCCTGTAACAGGGCTCCGGCATCTCTGGCCCGACCTTGCGGGGACCTTGCCGGGGACCTTGCCGGGGACCTTGCCGGGGACCTTGCCGGGGACCGGCCGGGACCTGGTCGGGGTACTTTTCGTCTGGGGACCCCCAGGGGCCGCCCCGCGCGCGCGAAGTAGAAACATTGTAGAGCAGTTACCGGAGATCTTAGCACGCCTCTGGCCCGTTGGGCCGGCGAATACAGAGCCGCCCCCAATCCTTGAAGCTGTTGCATTTGTCTAGGCGAATGTGCGCGGCGCCCGAAGAAGGTACCCCCATTCTGAAAACTACGTCACAGCATCCTCGAATATGCTGCAAACCTTCAAGCGCACGTGCACGTCGCAATGGAGAGATAACACATTTTGAAGACGTCCCCCTCCATCCTCGAGACTACTTCGAATCTTAAGCATGAGGATCCTAGATGGCAGGGGGCGGGGGCGCTTCAGGCGAAACGCCCGGCCCGCCCTACCAACACGCTTGGGTTTTGTGACGAGAATTACTTACCCAGAAGCAGAAAGCATGGAGGTCACAGACGAGGGAGGAAGAGGAGGCGGATGATGGAGGAGGATGGAGGAGGAGGGAACCTGGAGGGGGAGGAGGGAGGGAGGATGGTAGTGAGACGCGGGTGTGACAAATATGACCGTGCTCTGTCGAAACTGCCGCACACAACGGAACTAATCCGTAGGTGAGCAAATGTGTACAGCCTGGCGCTGGGCATGGTGCAGCACTCGGAATGACGATGCTGGCCGGGGAGCCTGGGACGGGGCAGGGCGCCAGGGGTATTGAAGCAATGGCAACCAAACCTGCTCCGCAAGGACTCGCTGCGCCAAAAACGCGCACGCGGCCACCGAGCGCGGCGGAGGCCTGGGGAGACGACCAGCCGGGAAGGGGGAGCACAAGCGGTAGCACGCAGCCTCACTCACAACTTTCATTGGCGACCGCGCTCTCGCGCCCTTCCCGTGTGGCTGAGGGGAGAGCACGCGCAGACACCGACGCCACTGCGCCGCCCCAGACCCCGCAGGACTGGCACCCCTTTGACACGCGGGTGCGGAGCCCAGCCCGAGTAGGCATGGGCTCACTGAGCCTTGAGCCGCGCCCCCTTCGGGTTGACCCCATGTCCGCACCCTGAACCCACAGGTCGACGGGTGGGCCGCGACAGCGGAAAAGAGCCCACCTCCGCGCACGATGGCACCGTGCAAGCCAGGGCAGACCAGAGAACCGATCCGCACCGACCTGGGGACGGTGCCCTCACGGCGAGTATGGCCAGGTCCCCGAAGACCGCTGACGGTCGCCCCCTTGCCAGAGGCCAGGAGGCGTCCGCTCACGCCCCCCAGGTCCCCAACCAAACCCCTGCCAGCGCATCCCCCGACAAAGGCCGCGACTGAGCGGATTTTAGGTTCCCCAGGGCACCAAAACGCTTGAGTGGCAATGTGCTTTTTCCCTTACGCTTCCTACTGCAGACTGGGCTGGACTACGCTGCGCGCGCGATCCCGCCGACGGCGCACACCGGCGCGCTGCGGGCTATGGATGCAGCCGCCCCGGCATGTCAGGAGCAGTTCAGCGGGTTCCCCCCCCTTCAACTCACCGAGGCGGGCTCGGGCTCCGCTCCTCCGAGAAGCACGCGGCGGCCGCCGACCTGGCTTCGCGCGCCCGCAGTGCCGAGACTTGCTGACAGCTGTACGCAGCCTACGACGACGCCGACGGCGGGGAAGGGGGGCAGCCTAGCCGCCGTCACGCGGGCCTTCCACGACACAGTCCACCCAGGATTTCAGATCACGTTCGATGCCGCCCAACACGGGGACCAGGGGCCCCTCTCCAAGAATGTTAACGAGGCCGTTCGCGGCGAGCGTCGGCAGCGCGCGTCGCCAGCTTCGAGAGCCCACCTCAACCCGCTGGCAGATTCAGGCGCCGGCGCTTTTTTACAGGCGCCCCCAAACCCAGCATTCGGCGCCGACGTTCCGCACAATCTAATGCAAGTGGCCTTGCGACGCCGCCTTCGACACCAGCTGCTCGACGAGGAGGCCTTCTGCTTGGCCTGTGGGGAGATTGTGGACGCGTTCGCAGAACACGCGTTCACCTTCCTCGTGGGACTACGCTGTCACCGCCGGCCGCGCGGACCTGCTCGCGACCTCGGCCGCCGCGGGCGACGACGACGCGGCGGCGACCCGCTGCGTGGAACAGAAACGCCTTCACCTAGACACGGTTCGGAGGTGCTCGAAGGCCAGCCTAACGTCCATTCCGATGGTATGCGAGGTCTACGGCGGCGGCCAGGGCCGCGAGGCGCGACGCGCTGGCCAAACGCGCGGCCGACACGACCGGCGACGACGCCGCGCTTGCGGCCGACCAGCTGGCCCAGCGACTTGCCACATCCCTGCGCTGGGAAAGCGCGCGGGCAGTGCTGCGACGCTTCCATCCGCGAGAGGGAGCAACGGTCGCGCTCTTGGCGGCGGCCTCGGCATTCTCTACTGCGGACGCCGTGTGAGCTACTAGCCCAAAGTCCCGGGGCCCCCCCTTCCCTCGCCCGCCCCCGCCGGCCCCGCGCCCGCTTGACGCTCGGCGGCCGCCGACCACGTGGCGCTGATGACTGACCCCGCCCGTCCTCCGTCCGCCCCTCCGTCGCGCCTGCTTGCTGCCCCTGCCGCCACCCCCCTTTCCTGGTCTGCGTCTGTTCACTGCGGTGTTTTTGCTATTCCTGGTCCTCCCCCGCCCCCCCCCCCCCTTTCCTCCCCCCCCCCCCTCCGGCGGCGTCGGCGTGTCGTGCCGCTGACCGTGCCGCGCGCCGAACCTGGGACAGCGTCGCTGCTGTCGTGCATTGTTTGAGGGGTGCCGCGTTGCGGAGTGGTGATATCGATTCACGACCGGCACAGCCTCTGGGCGCTACATGCTTGCCCACCCCGTGCTCCCTCCTCCTTCTCCTCCTCTTCCTCCTTCCCCTCCCGTTGTTCTCTGCAGCTTAGCATCGTCGCCCCGCGCGCGCCCGCCCGCGAATGCGGCCAGGCGCGGCCATGGCTGCGTCTCGCAGGCTGGAGGGAGTTTGAGTGACCGTCATAGTTGTAACGGTCGGAGCACGGCGTCGAAGAACACCTAGGTTTGGCAATCGATGGTGTGCAATCTACGTGGAGCGATGTTGGAGGTACCGCATACGTCGTGCAATATATGTGGGCAATGTACGCGATACAGACTACGTGGTGCAAACTTTGTTGCGAACCGTGCAGTGTGCAACCTATTTTGTGCAATCCACTTGCCGAACTCGAAGTTGTCAGCTCCACTGCTCGCGCAATCATCCCACCAACCCATTCGAAACCTAGTTTGCAAAACCCATGCGGGAGCGATTGCGAGGAGTGCTGGGTGTTGGCTGGTGCATCTCTGCGGCCGCGTAGCCCGCGCACGCTCGCGCGCAGCGGCAAGCTAGTTTGACGCGACCGACGCGAACGCAGTGGCGCTGACCGCTCGGCACATCCCAGCGGGCACTTCAGTGCGAGTCGGCGACTTGGGCGGACGCCGTATCATGGCAACGTCGACAACGGTAGACACGATGATGATAGTAGCGATGCTGGCGACGCTGCTGACAGCGACGACGGGGCAGCCAGTGACGGCGCCGATGCTGATCACGCCGACGACGATGACGTCGTCTTCGCGCCGGTGGTAAATGTTTTTGGAATGAATTCGACATGCGCGAGCGGCCGATGCGCGAAAGTGGTTCGCGTGGTTTTATTCGACACGGATCGTGCGCCGCGCAACGGCGTTCGGAAGATTCCGACGTGCGCGCGCGAAACCCGTTTGGTTGCATTCAATGAATTTGTTGAACAAATCGCGCTTGTTTCAAGAATTCGCAAGACCACGCGCGCATCACGCTGTTGTTGAACATCCGTGTTGCAAAACAATGTATTTTTTGGCGCTAGCAATGTTTTTTAGACACTCGAATTTGACATCGTCCCCAAACCGATGGTTTGGACGGATTCCGACATGCGCGCGCAACGACGCGCGCGTGTATACTTCATCACATTTGTTACAACGGAGTCTTGGAAACTTTTGATGTTTGATGCACGAGTGCGCGCGCATTGTAGTTTCCGCGAAGGAGCCGAGGGGGGAGCGATACCGGCCTGGCTGGGATAGTCTGAGTTCACAGGTCGGATGGACATTGGGTCAGAATCATATGTGTTTTGAATCGGTCCCCGGTGAATGGATAAGTCCCGTGAGGGAGGGTGGTTGAATTTATTTCTTGTTTAGAAAAGGGAATCTACGCGGCACAATCTGCGTGGTGCAATCTCTGTGGTGCAACCAATATGGGGCAAGCTTGAGCTTGACATGTTCATTCATTCGTTCACATCAGTGGCGCCGATAATTCGAGTGATCACATCGCGCTGAGGAAAAAAGGGTGCAACCCAGATATCTGGTCAACGGTGCGATGTTCTTGGCGGTCCAAGAGTCCCCACTCCTTGTGGGTGGACTCGTAGCCGACAAACGCGCAAGCGTCCCAGCCTGAATCCCACGCCATCCGACGTATAGGAATGGTCGCGGGAGCCCGAGTGCAGGGCCGAAAACGGGCCGAAGGAGGTAGACCACCCGAGTTTCCTGCGACTCGTTCTGGAAAAACACACTGCTGCAGAGCCTCTACGCTCTCGAAACAGGTCGACGCACACGGCATGCGAAGGTCAACCTATGAAAGTCATCCGCATGCCGAGGTCGTACGCGGGTCGAGTCTACCTTATGCAGAAAAGACACCACTAGAGACGGAGAGAGAAACGAACGGAAGGAGGAAGAGGGCAAGAGGAGGAGTGCGAGACGCGAGAACAGGAGGGAGAAACATAAGAGGAGAGGAAAGCAAGCCTCCTGGTGCGGTGCCTCATTTGCGGCGCCCTGTGACCTGCGCGGGCGCGCCTAGGTTGAAGCCAGAGGTTCGCAGGGATGTGTCGAACAGAAGCCAGAATAGTCCTGTGCCGCCAAGGCACGAATTGAATGGTGTGCTTGGTCTTGATACCACAGCTGCCTTTACATGCCCCCGCGGTACATCATGCCAAATGCCATGTACTTGCCGTAAGTAGGGTCACACTTCCCGCGCATGGGTGCGGGTTCCAAAACGGACATGGTGATGTCCTCTATTGACAGCTGCACTCGGGACGCCATCTCCGCAGAATTCCCGCGTGCATAGCTCGAGAGCATGAAGTGGATGCACGGCTAGGGCACCAAATTGGTCTGGAACTCGGCGATGTCCACGGTCGGGGCGCAGCGCGGCGACAAAGTCAGCGAGGAGAAGATCTGCGCCAGCAGCATGTTCAGCTTTGTGTACGTAGGACGCTCGATGTCCAGAGTGTGGTGGCAAATGTCGCACAATGCTTTGTTGTCGTACGTGATGGCCACGTTCCAGGAAAGAGTGCACGCAGAGGAAGTGGTTGTTTTCCTCCAGCTCCATGAACATCCCGGGCCCCCGCCAGGACCCGTGCCTAGCCGTCGGAAACGGAGCGGGGACAGTAGGTGGGGAAGACACAACAAACTTCAGAGTGCGCTGTTGCCGCCTGAACTACGTTTGAGCCGAGAGCGGCTATATGTATACATGTATATATATATATAGAAATATATATATATACATATACATATACGGTGCGCAACCTATGTGGTGCAACCGACGAGTTGGATTTGACTCCTGCTCGCCGTGAGTTGTCCACTCCACTGCTCGCGCAACCATCCCACACACTCACCCCGCAACATGGCGTGCAGAACCCAAGCGGCGGCAATTGCGATGAGTCCTTAGAGTTGGTTGGTTCATCTTTGCGGCCGCGCTAGCCCGCGGATGCTCGCGCGCGCAGCGGTCAGAATGGATGGCGTTACCGACGCGGCCGCGGTGGCGCTGACCGTTGGGATTTGTTTCCCAGCGGTCTCTTCAGTGCGAATCTGCGCTTTGGGCGTGCGCGGTATCATGGGAATGCCGACAACGGGAGACGCGATGACGAGGGTAGCGGCCGGCGCGCAAGCATGGCCCGCATGGTGTTATTTGACAATTTTGGTCCAATACATGTTGTGCAATGTTTGCGGGGCGGCGCCGGGGAGGCGATGGCGGCAACAAGCGCGGCGACCGACAGGCAGGCCGAAACGACGGGCAGCGACGAGGCGGCGACGGGGCGGTGACAAGCGCGGCGACCGACAGACGAACCCAGACCACGGGCGGCGACGAGGCGGCGACGGGGTGGCGACGGCGGCAACATAGTCGCCAGGCCGACATATAGGCCCAGCTCATTGGTAACAAATGAGAGCCGCAAAGTGCAAATAGTGTTTGAGGAATATCTGCTATAGAGAGAGCGTGCGAGAAAGAGAGAAAGAGAGAGAGAGAGAGATGCCGGGTGTGGAAGGACATGTTGGGGGCTTGTGGGGAGAGCCTCCAGGCGGGACGGCAAGGTGCAGGGGCGGCGAAACGAGGATGCACTGGGGCCTTCTGCTGCTGCGTGGCTTCCTCGAGTGCCGCCTTCTGCTCCTCTTGATTCGGCCCCATGCTTCCAGGGCCGCGGCTTCCGGGCTCCATCTGCGCAGTTTCTGGTTGTTGTTGTTCATCATCGCCATGTGTTCCTCCTTGGGGCCTCCCCATTCCCATGTCATCCCCTTTCGTTGGGCAAGCACGGGCTGGTGCGAACCGTCACGTCTTGGTGGCCGCGATCCGAAAAAAACGAAATCGGAACGCCGTGCTCGATCAACTACAAAGATATACAACCAATGCCATGTCCTCCTTCTGCTCTTCCTCCTGAAGCGCTCTTACCTCTGAAGCTCGACCTCCGCCTCCTCTCGTCCCTTCCCGTGGTCGCCGACTCGAAGCCAGCATATTTTGCAACAGGGAGTTTCGGGACGTCGCTTGTTGAAGCAAGGACCTGGCAAGCTCGACATGCCATCACGCCTTACTCACTCAGCTAGGCCACGGCTTGCCATCCAACTTTAGTTGGAACGATAAGTTCGGACTTTTGTGTGCGCTCTTGGGTGTCTTCGAGCGTTCAAGTGGCCTATGCTGGGCAGACTTTTTTTGCATTGCTTGTGCAAGGGGGGCAGGAGGAGGGTGGGCGTGGGAAGAGGGCGTCGGACATCCTTTCAAACCTCCTATATAGACATTCCTCACTCGTCCACCCCCCCCTCCCTCCCTCCATCCGTTCTCCCCTGTCTTCTCCTCGCGCTCAAAGGAGGAGGGGAAGGAAGAGAAGGACGGATAAGGAGTTTCCTCCTCCCTTCCAGGGGGCGGGGGAAGGTGGAGGAGAATGGGGGAGGAGGACAAGGACGACGCCGGCGACGACAGCAGCGCCGGCGACTCGCGACGGGCGACGTCGGTTGCGGCGGATGGCCGCTCCACAGGCCCCCGCCCACACCTCGCCGCCCGGGGCGCACGAGGCGCGCTACGATTGCCAGGCCGTTCACTTCAGTGGGGTATCTCTTCCTGGCTATCCTCGTCTTCGTTGCTCTCGTCATCTTCGTTCTTCTCCGTACTCCTTTTACCTCCTTGACCTTCTCCTGCTCTTCCTCCTCTCCTCCACCTTCTCTTTGACTGCCTCGTCCTCCATCACCGTTTTGTCGCCCTCAACCTCACCGCCCTCATCCGTCTTATCCTCTACCTCTTCCTTCTCCCCGATCCTGCTCAACCCCCTGCCTCGCTCTATCTCCTCCTTCACTTCCACAGCCGTGTGTTCTGACTGATGCGGAAAGGGAGGAGAAGGTAGTGGAGGAGGAAGAAGAACAGGAAGAGCAGGGGGGACGACGACGACATCCTCCTGCTCTTCGTTCCCTTCCTCCTTCGTGGTCGTCCACACTATCATCGTCGCCTCCGTTTTTCCAATTTGTAGGCTTCCTGTCGATCCAATGTGACCCGTCGATCCTCTCGACTCGACCGATCCGACTCGAGAGGGCTTGCCGTCGAAGGCTCTCATGTTGCCAGGGCCGCCCAAGGCCCCAGCGGCTCCCCATGGCGGAGGGTCCCACCATTGCGACACGCTCGATCCGACCCGATCGATAGCATTCCATCTTTCGAGCAGCTGTGATGAACAGTCCTGCGCTCTGGGCTTCGGGTTTGTGCAAAATTGGAGTGTCTCGCCTTTTGTAAACGGTTGAGGCCATGTTGTGCAATTTTGTTCGTGACACAAGCACGCGAAGCGAAAGTTCGGCCAGATGTTGTCTAGATGTATGTCCCATGTCCTCGCTCGTTCTTGCAATGGGCAAAGACAGAACCTCCCAATGGTCGGAGCGTCAAAGCGTTCAGAGAAAAATGATGCAGCGTGCAACAACAGCAACCACGAGAGAACGGACAAGCGAAACGCGCAGGAAACGAATAGGCCAAGAGGCGCCGAGCAGCGGCCCGAGGCTGTCTCCTCCTCGTCCTTCTCAGTTTCCTCGTCGTCCTCTCTCTTTTCCTTCTACTCGTCCTTCTCTTTTTCCTCCTCGCCCTCATCCTCCTTCTTCCACCAATCCCTCTTCCTTGTGAATAGTGAGCTACCCCTTATCGCACCAGCAGGCGTGTCCGTAGGCCATCCCAGGCATTTCGCTTCAGATGTCAATATATTGTAATCGCGCGAAGCAGCAACAGTCTTATTACAATACGGACGGAGGGCTGGTCATTTCAAAGCCCCCCAAAAAAACATTTCTCACCGTAGCGCCACTCACATCCGACTCCCCATAATCCTGACGAAGGACCCAACCATATGCAATTGTGAGTACCGCAGTTGCGAGCTCCGCCTTCGGTGGAGCTCTCCCTGTGGGGCCTCGAAACGCGTGAGGGGTGTGCCGAAATGGGTGCGGTGGCGCCGTGCGAACCCTGCTTCTGTGGCCTTCGGTGGAGCTCCCGACGGGGCCACGAAACGTATGAGGGGTGTGCCGAAATGGGTGCGGTGGCGCCATGCGAACTCTGCCACAGGGGCCCTCGGTGGAGCTCCCTATGGGGCCACGAAGCGCCGTACTGGGTTTGCCGAAACAGCGAAGCGCGGAGGGCAGAGGCAAGGAGAGGGAGGAGGGAGGAGCGTGGGAGGTGAGGTGAGGAACGCGGGGCACTGTCTCTTCAAAGCGAGGACCCAACACCGCAGGATGGTTGGGACGAAACTGACAGTTAGAAGGATGGAGGCCACTTCGTTTTCAAAATGCGAGTCTCGCCTCAGCGCCGCGTTTACTCGTCTTGAACAATTGCAGTAACTACACGGATGGAGGGAGGGGGTCAGGATATTGTTCTCGCCTCAGCATTGCGCACATTTGCGTTGAACGCTTTCCACTTTTACAAAGATTGAGGTTAGCTTGATTTCAAGATGTTTCTCAGTTTTTTAAGCTCAACGACGTACTCGTTGAACTGTACCACCCAATATGTGCAACTCTTGCAGCTAGATGGATGGAGGCTGGATCCTTATCGTCGTTGCTCAGGTCGTCCTCCTCCTCCACCTCCTCCTCCTCCTCCTCCTCCTCCTCCTCCTCCTCCTCCTCCTCCTCCTCCTCTCTCTCTCTTCTCTTTTCCCACTTCCTCCTATACTGGTCATCCTGCTCCCCCGCCTTCTCCTGATCCTCCTCTTCCTCCTCATTCCCCTCCTCGTCGTCCTCCTCCTCCTCGTCTTCCTCATCGCCCTCCCCCTCCATCTGCTCCTCCCCCTGCTTCTCCAATTCGTCTGGTGCCTTGGGCACACGAAGCGCGCTTCGCCGCCACCGAGGCCGCGCCGCCCGGAGGGACGGAGTGGGAGGGGGGGCAGGCCTCGCTCCTCGCCTGTGCAGAGCTTGGCCTCGGCTGCAACGCTGCAGCGTCCAGCGCAGCGCTGACGATGCAGGATGAGGGTCGCTGTCTTCTTTCATCGGGGCGCGTGCCAGCAGCTGCGGTTCGTCGAGGGCTTCCGGAGGGCGTATTGCATGGGACGTCTTGCAGCTCTCTCCGCCAGCAGCCCCTTCTCCTCCTACTCCCCTCTCCCCTTCCCCCTCGCTCATCGTGCTCCTCTTCCTCATCCTTCTTCTCATTCCCCTCCTCCTCGTCCTCCTCTTTCTCCGCGGCATCATCCTTCTCGTCCTCCTGTTGCTCCTCTACTTTCTCCCTCCGTGCTTTTCGAGATGTGTTACAGTATTGATGTAACGAACGTCCCGAAATCCATTGTCTGTTCCTACTTCTCTTTACGCTGGCATGTGTTTGCACACCTATGTGCGTAGCGTCTTGGTGATACGCGTGTGAAGATCAACATGGAACGCCCGTGCACAAAAAAGATAGGCAGCCATGACAGAATTTCCTCCTCACTTCATCCTGGTCCTCGTTGTCTGTCTGATCCATCTCATCACCGTTCTTCTCGTCCAGTCTTCTGGGTGCGTCACTGTTTCGGTTTACCAACAGGCCCCACGTCACGGAGCCTTGACAAGGATCGGTCGATCGTTTGGCACGATCGAAATGGGCAAGGCCGCCACTTTCCGTCCCTCTCCCTGGCTCCAGACGTGCTGTGCAGTTACCAAACAAGTCAGGAGGACCATGGTTACGTAATTGAGCACTGTTTTCGTGCAGACCGACGGCAGCTGGTCAAGTTGATTCAGTGTTTTGGTCCAGCACTGACCGACGGGGGTGAGGAGAGAGACGCAGTACCGTGGCGAAGGACCCAACCATTTCTAAATACGTAGCGGTCATAAACAGGACCGTACAATCCACAAGAACACTGAGCGATCTGCAGTACCCCGAGCGTTTCGCCAAACAACGTCGTACCACACTCAACGTTCCCCGTTCAGGCAGGCATTCCCGCTTCTCAAATTGCAAACGGGGGGGCAACTGAACGAGTGAGGGAACTGCCGAAATGAGGCGGGGCGACGTTAAGTGAACCCAGCCACTGTGGCATTTGGTGGAGCTCATTACGGAGCCACGAAGCGTGTGAGGGGTGAGCCAACGTGGACCCCAGTCAGCATGCTGATCTTGCCACTGAGGCTTTCGTTGGGGCTCCCTATGGTGCCACGAAGCGTGTGAGGGGTGTGCCACATGGGCCCGAGTCCACATGCGGACCTTGCTACTGTGGCTTTTGGAGTGGCTACCTATGGGGCAGCGAAGCGTGTGAGGGGTGTGCCAGAATGGACCCGAGTCAGCATGCGGACCCTGTCACTGGGGTGCAGCTCCCCATGGGGCCACGAAGCGTGTGAGGGGTGCGCCAAAATTTACCCGAGTCCGCATGCCGCGTGCGGACCCTGCCATTGGGGCCTTCGGTGGAGATCTCTGTGGAGCAACGAGACGTGTGAGGGGTGTGCCAACACGGATCCAAGTCTGCATGTGGACGCTGCTACTGGGGTCTTCGGTGGAGATCCGTTTGGGTTTGCGAACCGTGTGAGGGGTGTACCAACGTGGACCCGAGTCAGCATGCGGAGCCTACCATTAGGGCTTTCAGTGGAGCTCCCTATGGGGCCACGAAGCGTGTGAGGGGTAAGCCAAAATGGGCCCGAGTCAGCATGCGGGCCCTGCAACTAAGGCCTTCGGTAGAGCCCCACATTGCAGTGTAACTGAGCAGGGATGTTGCGAAACGGTGACATGAGTCATGATGGCGGTAACGAGCATGAAGGCGATGATGTTGACGACGACGAGGATGAGGGTGATCTTGATGACAGGGATGAGGAGGAAGAGAAGAGGCGGGGGAGGGCGAGGAGGCGAGGAGACGCGGGGCGCTGCGGATTCAAACCGATGACCCAACACATCGGAGAGCGGGGAACAAACAGCAGCAACAAACACAAATAGAGCGAGAAATATAATGCACACAGGAAGAATCAATCTGGCTAGTCGCCACCTAGCAAGTCCAGGTCTCATCGATCGACCGGCACGATCGAAGTTGGCGCGGAAAGAACGGGGACGAAGACTGGTTGCAGTTCTTGCCCATTCTGAACATGATTTGCTGTCGGTGTCGCCGCGGACGTCCACTTGAGACAGAAGGGCGCTTGCCCAGCAGCGACCGCTGTCGGTGGCGGACAACGTTTGCCGGTGGGCACCGCACATATTGGTCCGTTCCCATCTTGGGCGTGTCAAATCGAAGATCGGGCGTTGCGGATCGAGGACCCAGATTATTTTTGTCCACGGTTGGCTTCGACTCGGGGGTCTACGGGAGACTGGGGAGGGGTGAGGATTGAGGATCGATCGATCGCAGCCAGTCGCCATCCAGCCGATCGCTATCCAGCTGGTTCAAGCCTATCGCCGTCCAGCTCATTGCCATCCTAGCCTATCCAGCCGATCGCCGTCCAGCCGATCGCGACGAGCGAGACAAGGAGGACGTCGAGACAAGAGGCTCGTGGTCCTCCTCTTCACCCTCTTCCTCCTTCTCCTTGTCATCCCTCCTCCTCCTCCTCCTCTTCCTTTTCCTTCTCGTCCTCCTCTCGTCCTCCTCTCGTCCTCCTCCGCCAACTCGTCGTCGTCGACGTCGTCGTCGTCTGCATCCTCCCTTTACTCTTTCTCTTCCAGTCCCCCTGGCTACGAGTAATCTGAATAGGGGTTTCTCATAGCAAAGGGTGCTTCTCAATGGGCAGATCCTTCGACCCCGAAGGACGATCCAATGGCGATGCGTCCGCTCAACGACCCGGAAACTTGTGCAGTAATCCTCCAGTCCTCTTCCTCGTGTGGTCACACTTCAACCCTAGCTAATTGCAGCGTCTGATCCTGATTCTGTTCCTCCTCCTCCTGTTCCTCCCGCATGCCCGTTCTTCCTCATCTTCCTCGGCCCCTCCTCGGGTGGGGCGGCTGCCAGGCGCCATCGGGAAGAGGGAAGGGAGAGGATCGAATTTTGTTCGGCTGCTTCGTTTAGTGTGTTGCTTCCAGGGACCTTCCAGAGGCCTCCAGGGGCCTCTGGAGGCCTCATCCAACAAGCTCTGGAGACTTCTAGAGAAGGAGGAGAAGAGAAGGAGCCTGGAATCAGAATTGACCTGCCTCTGTAGAGGCAGGCCCCTGGAGATGAGGAGGAGGAGGAGGAGGAGGAGGAGGACGAGGAGGAGGAGGAGAGAAGAAGAGGGGGAGAAGGAGACGCAGCCATGAGCAATCGTCCAATGTCTAAATTTACACATGTCCCTCGCCTGGGGGGGGTCCATGTCCCGGGACCCCCGGAGGCAGCGTGTATGAATCATGTTGTCCTCCCCTCGTCCGCACCCTCCCACCTCCTGCCCCCCAGTCCTCCTCGCCCTCACCTGCCCCTCCTCCTTCTCTCTCGGTCGTCCTGCCTCATCCCTGTCCTCTCCGCTTCTCCCTCGTCCACTTTCTCCAGCCACAGAGCTCTGTTGCGGAGGTGGCCACTGGCCACTCGCTCGCCTTTATTCCGCGCGCATCCTCCTCCTACCCTGCCGCCGCCGTCGTCGTAGTCGCTGCCGCCGCTACCGCCGCCGCCGTCGTCGTCGTCGTCGTTGTCGTCGTTGTCGTCGTCGTCTTCGTCGTCGTCATCGTCGTCATCGTCGTCGTCGGCGCGCCCAGCCGGGAAAATGGCTGTGAGGTCCTGAAGGCACTGCAGGCGGGCTGGTCGGAGGGGAAGCGGCGGTGGTGCTGCGAGCACGAGGCCCCTTCGAGTAGGTTCTCGACGACGACGACGAC